TTTTGTACTAAGTCAATATTTCATCATGTATGAGCCAAATCTGAACTGCTTCAGACAAAATTGTATTTTCTGCCTGCAACTACAACAGTTTAGTTAATAGTTATGTAAATAAAATTAATGATGGCATTCAGAAATAAGTAGTTTTGATACATTTGTTATAATTAAATTTAATACATCCAGTTACTAATCAGTCCACCTTTTTCCAATAACCATCTTAATAATACAGTTGTTTTATAAAATTTAATAAAGAGATGTCAGAAAATAATTTCATTGAAAAAAAGGTAGGATCTCATAATGATTGTTTAGGCATATAATGATATAAATAATAATTATTGCCATAATTATTATTTAGGCCTATATCATTAACACAGCTGTTTTGTTTCATAGCATTGTATCTCAGAATGTGATCAATAAGTTATTAACAATTTAGAATTTAGTACAAATGTGTGGTTGGTGATAACTACAAAAATATTTATGAATTGTTACAATATGTTACAATCATCAGCAAATTGTTACAATCATCAGCAAGAACATTGTTCATTAAATTGATTACTTCATTATTTACCTTTACCAAGAGTTCTGAAGATATCTGCTTTCTATTCGGTGACTGGTATCGAGGTTTAAGTTTTTAAACAGCTTGGTAAATTCAAGATTTTCTACTACGTTGAATGGTATATTTGCTGAAAAGAAAACCTTGAAACTTACAAATCCAGTTCATACCTGTGATTACTTGTTGGTGTAGTAACAAATTTAGAAATGGATGTTTGCATCATCATTGCAGTTGACTGAAAAATTAATGAATAAAAAAAATCATTAATAAAGCCTAAATGAACTTGCTCATTTTTATCTGACTGGTAGACTTAATTCATGCTGCAGGTACAGATGGCCTTGGCTCTAAAACTGATATATTGCTAAATACTTCAGCGGAATCACTTTTTTCTTTCTTCTGCATTTATTCAAATGGACTTAAACTCTCTATTTTTTTAATTTTTCTCTCTTTCCAAAAATTACATATTACTCTATTTCTATATTTAGTTGATCACTTAATGTAGTCAGTTCATTCCACTCTTTATTTCTTCCCCGAATGATACTTTGGCATGTTGATAAGTATAATCTACTTATATTTCAAATTTAAATAAAAAGATAACTCTATTTAAAAATATCTTTTTATTAGAAAAAATGAATTATTAGAAAATATTAGAAAATCTGATTATTAAGCTATTGTATAAAACAATATAACTGTAAAAACGAAAAACAGCTTTTAAATAACTATAAATTAATCAAACTTTGCTACTAAAGATTTTTACTAAACTTTAGCAAAAACTCACATTCCCACCCCTAAAGCCAGTTGTGTTGGGTTTTTACCAACCCTGATTACCACGGTAGAAAAAGAGCTCTTAGAAAAACATGTGTACTATTTTTCTGAAAATAATATTAATGAAGGAAAGAATTACACAGATGATCATTTTGTAGCTGAAGGAGCAAGCAAATCAACTATTTATGATATAATCAAGGGATATGATTATAGAATTGATGCAAATCTACAACTAGGAGCAGGCAAACTGGTTGTTATTTTTGATAAACAAAAAAACATTGATTTAGACAATCGACAAACAATAAACATGTTTTATCACAAAGAAAGTTAGCTGAAAAACTCAATTGTTGTCAACCATATGTTTCCATGGTTCTAAATCATAAACTAGGGATTAGTTGTTTCAAAAATACTAAAATACCAGATAAAAGTTTTGTTCAGGTAGTGAAAAAGGCTCATGATTGAGTTTTAGATGATGAATTTTATTTCACACTTTCACATTTAAATATGAATGGAAATAGATTCTATTATACTGATCATAAAACAAATGCTCCTCCATCAATGAAATATACAAAAACTCCAATGTTTGAAACTAAAGTACTAGTTTAGATAACATTTTCATGTAAAGGGTTTGCTGAGTTATTGGTTTTGTAAATGTCTATAAATAAACAAAATACACAAATTAATGAAGCCATGGCCAGAAGCTTAAATGATCTTTCATGAAAGATCATTTTAATCTTAAATGATCTTTCATGAAAGATCATTTTAATCTTAAATGATCTTTCATCTTCAGTTATAAATCTTAACACTGCACAATCTTACTTTTTTTAAATAAATTTATTGTTGAATAAAATATGAGTCTAATAAAGGACCTTTATTTAAATTAAAAAAATAAATTTTATGTTTGCAATCCCAGAGTATTCTGTTGTTTTCAAAGAATTACACCATGTTACAACATTTTAGTTTATATTGATTTTTTTATGTTTTTTATATAATTTTGAGATGCTGAATTCAATGGTATCATTGGTTTTGCTCCATCATTAAGATTTCCTGAGAAAAAGCATAAGTATATATATATATATATATATATATATATATATATATATATATATATATATATATATATATATATATATATATATATATAGTATAGAGGTATATATATATATATATATATATATATATATATATATATATATATATATATATATATATATATATATATATATATATATATATATATATATATATATTTATATTTATATTTATATATAAACTTCACTTTTTCTCATGAAATTTTGATGATAAAGAAATCAATGGCTTTTAAAAAAAGCCATTGATTTTTTTATCATCAAGATTTCTTTATCATCAGATTTCTTTATCATCAGCATATATGTTATAAATGTATTACATGCATGTGTAATACATTTATAACATATATGCTGATTTTAACTATATTTATAGTTTATTATCAGTTTAACTGATTACAATTGTTATATGAAGTGGTGAATATGTCTAATAGATACTGCAAATCTTGATCATCTCACTACAGTTGTAGCAGCTGCAGATCAAATCTGCAAGGATGGCTTTGTGGAATCCAAAAGTCAATGCCCTTTGTGATTCCAAGATATAGATGGAACCAATGAATCATCATATTGACTGTTATTTTGATATTTCAAAATAACAGTCTATTTGATTTGGTTGATATTTCAAAGTATAAAAAGCAGACTCTGACTGATAGTTTTTATAAGTATACCTTTTTTTATTGAACTAGTTCAACACATTGATGAATTGTCTGTTCCTACTCAATCCAAAGAAGTGGCTGCATATCATTCTGAAGTATAAATGCCAGATGAAATCAGTAATGACTGTGATTTCAGGGAACCAAATGATTTGCCTGATTTCCCTAATCAAAAAGAACCAAATGACTAAGTACAAGATTTAGGTCTCATTAAATCAAATGCTGAATCTCTGTTATTATGTTTGAAAGAAAAAATTTATTAGAACTATGCTGCAAAATTTCAATATACCAAAAAAGATATGAAACATTTGCATGCTTTTTTTTGTATCAGAATCACTGTGTCACTATTGTCATGAAGTTCGTGGTCTTTTTGATGAAATTGGGATTGTTCACAATCCTGAAAATTAGAGGTTATTCATTGATAGCTCAAAAAGAAGTCTAAAGACATTTTTGCTCCAAATGGAAATCAATTTTACTTTAATCTCAGTAGCTCACTCCATTTATCTAAATGAAGACTACAAGAACATGGAATTGTTGCTTGAAAAATTATCTATGACAGTTATAAGTGGGGTGTATATGGAAACTTTGCAAGCATTTCTTCTGACCAGTAAGAGAATCAGTATTGTTGTTACAACTATTAAATAATTCGACTGACAACTAAAATTGACATTTTTGAAATTGACCATAGCACTAGTCAGTAACACTACTAATCAGCAAGTTTATTAAATAGAGTGTTTAGGTACAAAATTTTTTCTTGAGATTTGTGATAAAAATTAATATTTTAATATTTTTTTGACTGCGTATATAGCAATGTGTGTGTGTGTTTATGTGTGTGTGTGTGTGTATATATATATATATATATACACATGCACACATACATTGTTGTGTAATTATAGATATATACTAAATAATAAAATGGTAAATTATTTATTACTGTAAGGTTAATTTTTCCATTATATGCTACCATTAGTGTGATAATGTGTTTGTAAATTACTGTAAGTGCTTTTTATAATTAAAAGTAGTCATTAGGTAATCTGTGTTATAAAAAAGTCTTATTTATGATTGATCTTTGTTGATGTTTTTGTTTAATTATAAATTAGTGTCAAAAAAAAAACAAATTTACAAGAATTTTCTATTACTGAGCCTCAACATGCCACAGAAAGTTTCTCCCCTATTTTTTATTCAAATTTAACTCAATTTAACTTTATTTCAATAATTAGTTACAAAACCAATTAAATACCATATAAAAAGAATTTTTTTGTTCAATACTTCTTTACTTATTGATTTACTAGTAGATAATTATAAGATATGGCTTCAATGAACCAGCATTAATTGAGTTGTCTTTTAACAAACCTGACTGAATTCCACTTAAAACGGTTGCCTTTGAATCATTAGAAATGTTTTTGTAACAAAGCACTTATGAAGTTGTAATTTTCTTTTGTCTTTACAAAATTGTTAGTTTTTGTCTTCACCAAGTTGCTACTTATTTTTTGTCTTTTCCAAATTGTTAGTTATTTTTTGTCTTTACCAAATTGTTAGATATATTTGGTCTTTACCAAATTGTTAGTTAGTTATGTAGTTAAGATATCTTACATTTTTTTAAAACAATTAAAAAAAACAATTTTTTTTTTAAATAAAAAAAAAGAACACATGAAACTCTTAAACTTATTAAGTTATCTATAAATAAGCTTTTTATGTTCAAAATTTTTTTTAATTAGACAATATATTTTTAAGTTTTTAAATGTCTGGATCTTGAGGAATCATTTTTTGATGCAAGCAAGCTAAGTTTTATTTTCTCCTTAAATCTCCTTAAGTTTATTGAGGGTTATTAAAAGAGATGTGAATACAGCCATATGTTTTTGTACTTAAATGTTTTGGTAATATGTATGTAAGATTTTCTCCTTCTTTGTAAAAAGATGAAATCAAAAGTTTTTAGTTTTTTTTTAGGAAGAGGGTAAATTGAAGAAAAATGAATCTGACAACCCATTTACACGAAGAAAAACTTTACCTTTTATGATCATGAAAAAGGTATCTTATACAATTCAAATTTAATGTTTTTGTTATTAAATAAAAATAACCTTTTGAAGGATAAATAAACAGACATAAAAAAAGTTTAATGTTTGTTGGCAATTATCAACTAATAAATAGAATTCATAATGTGAAAAGAAAAACACGGTTTTAGCTAACATTTTCAAGTTTAGGTCCACTAGAACTCACAGTGATTTGGTTTGTTATATATTTATACCTTGTTGTTTGATTTTTTTTTAGCTTTTCTATAATTTATCCATTATACAACTAATGTCTGTTTATCAAACTCTATTATTCACTGTAATAATAAGTAACTTTATTATTAACTAAATAATAACTAAATTAACTAAATAATAAGTAATAATAAGAACTATCATTAATACTATCCTTCTTTTACTTAGTGCCACTAATTTATTTATATATATATATATATATATATATATATATATATATATATATATATATATATATATATATATATATATATATATATATATATATATATATATATATATATATATATAGACCCGAGCAAAAAAATCCTCTTGGTATCTTCTCAACATCTGCTCAACTAAATGGTGGAATAATAAACTTAAAATAAACTGCTATTTTCTTAATCTTTCTGTAAAAGTTAAAATATTGAAAGCTAAGGAAATAATATTAATATTCCTCTGAATAATTTCCATTGTTAAAAAGTGATACTAACCTGAATGAACTTATGATAACAACTTTGGTTTTTCTATTTCAGATATTATTAACTTACCAAAGTGGCTGGATAGCTCAGTTGGTTAGAACATGGAACAAAAAGTTTAAACCTGGACTGTTGTAAGATACGAGTTCAAATCCTGCCACCGCCAACTCAGCGCTTGAGTAGTACTTCGGTACGCAAAAATGTTGGTCAATAACGGACGCTACTTTCGATTAGTCTTAATGACTATTTGTGGCTGTTCCTATGCTAAGCCAATAATATCTTCGGATGTAAGAACATTGTATAGAAAAACATAGCATGAAAAATTAAAAAAAAAAAAAAAAAATCCAAATCCCTAAAGTATTTTTTGCATTTACAAAAATCTTTCATAAAATTCAAATTAAATTTCATAAATTTCATAAATTTCATAAATTTCATTAAATCTTTAATTCTGGAATACTACTCACTTTCTAGAAATCAGCAAATTTTAGCACGGTCAATAAAAAATCGGGAGATAAATTACTTACTAAAACTATCAACCTAATTCACTAAACTCTGTTGTCTGCAAATTAGTCAAATTACTTTTTAAGAACAAAATCTTTAAGCACATAATGATAATAAAATGCCCCCTGCAAATCAACCTAGCTTTCTTCACCATAAATTAAATGTGACTAATCTAAGAGAGACTTTTGGTATTATTTCATCTTCTATAGTATTTCAACAATTTATTAATATCTTGATTTCACCAAAGCATTGATTCTCTACCTCAAAACAGTTTTATGTTAAATTTAAGATATTTTGGAATAAATGGGAAACAAAATAAAAAGGTATAATGAACCAATCCCTGAAAAGCTCTACTAAAGTGCATAATTTAGTCAATTTAGAGTCATTGTTTCATGTAACGTCTATTGGAGCACACATTTTCGAACAGTTGTCCCAAAGTCCTTACTTATTCTTGGTATGCAAAAAGAAATTCACATTGATTGATGAAAATATTCCAGCTTAAGATACCTGTAATACTGCGACAGACCAAGAAGATTGAATTTACAATCATTGACTTATTATTTTGGTTATTCGGGCAGCGTTAAGCTTAGGGTTAGGGGAAAATTTCAACACTTTTTTCCCGCATTTTACTTAATAGCAGCACTTATGTATATTTGACATTACCCATTAGTGTAGCAACTGCAAAAAAATGTCTTTAATGTGTTTTAATGTGCCTTAAGCACATTAAACCACATGGCGCAAATCATTTTGTCTGCACTAGACCAAATAGCTACTGAAGCAGAAATAACAGCTCAATTAAATTTAAAAGATGTTTTTGACCAATTTACAGCTTTGAAGAAAAGAAAAAAACCTTTATTTGATTTTCTATTTACTAGACGTGCAAAGTGTTACATTCTGGTTTCTATTTAATTAAACCAAAATTGTATTTAAAAATAAAGTTTTTATTTTCATGTATAATTATTGTCAAGAAATGAGAAGGGAAGGGTGTGGGGAGCAGAGAAGTAATTTAGGGGCCCGTAATAAAATTTTGCGGAGAGGCCTATTTTTTGTCGCTATGCTATTGTATCAAACCTATCTTTTGATTGTCCAGTTTTAAGTTATTTTAAGTTTAAAATAACTTAAAAGTTTTACAACTTTTAAGTTATTTTAAGTTGTTTGTTTTTCAAGTGTATGTAGCTTACATACACACAAGAAGCGTTTTAAGTAGTAAATTAAATTCTTACTATTACAAGTAATACAGCTTTGTATGTTCCATATAGTACTATATGATGTTAGAAATGTTGGAGATTTGACATATTTTGCAATGATTATTTTTACATTAAAATAATTCATCCTCTTTATTGGGTAATTGTTGGATTAATTGGATTTTTGGGCTATTTTTGGTTAATTGGGTTTTTGCAAAAGTTCTTAATAGACTGGGTGGTTGTTTAAGTACAAATATTAGCTGAATATTAAAAAAAACTTCCTAAACTCTTTCATTTGATGATAGAATAAGAAAAAGGGTTGGTTAAGAGTTCAGGTTGCTGTAAAAAGTTGTAGTTAGAGAAAAAATTTCTTTAGATTGATTTTGGGAACTAGTACTTAGAGTTTTGATTTGTAAAATGCTTTCTCAATAATATATATATTTTTTTCAAACATTGCTTCCAACAAGGCCGCAAACAACCACTAATTAGTGTTGGAAATTACTGGAAGAGAAAAGATGAAGATAGTAGAGCAAGATAACGATTGACAGGCGACTTTAAAGATTTCAAATTATATGAATCAGGAAAGCAAGATGAAGGAAGCAAATTCCAAAGAACTGATGTTCGTGAAAAAAAACTAGACTTAAGAATGAGACTTAATTGAATGACCAGTAACATGAGAATGAATTTTAGTAGATGGCACAAGAGAGGCTAGCTCTTTAGAGCCGTGCATATTATAGTATTTGTAGAAAAGAGAAAGAGAAGCAACATTACGACGATGTGACAAAGGTTGAAGGTTAGCTGCAAGAAGGACCTGCAAGAGCAGGTCCAACTATGTTTACAATGCGTTTTTGCACCTTATCTAAAAGAGAAAGTGCATCATTAGAAGATCTGCCTGAGATATGGC